CCTTCCCCCTCTCTATAAACATTGCCTCCCCTCCCCCCTCTCTATATACATTGTCCCCCCTCCCCCTTTCTATGTACATTGCCCCCCTCTCTCTATAGATTGCCCCCCTCTCTCTATACATTAGCCCCCCTCTGAGAGGGGGGTCTAATGTATAGAGGGGGGGCAATGTACATAGATGCCCATCACTTCATTTACCATTGTTACTGTTTTAACAGACCGTCATTAAGGCCTATATTTTCTATAAACTGACATGCAGAGCTGTTGTTACAGTAAGTATAAGGATAATGCCAGGAGTGAGTAGGGCCTATACTAGGGTCTTGGCAGGGCTGGCCGGAAGAGAATGGGGGCAAACTGGGCAATTTTGCAGAGCCATACTCTCTAGTGGGACTCCGGGATTTCCCTGTGCAGCCACGGTATTTGGAGTCCCCTTTTGTAATTGCACTTTATGTCATCCTTTGTACGGACTGGAATGCAGTGCTTCTGGCTCATAATTCTCTAGCAGTACATCAGGCAGAGACATTAGAGTGGGCCAAGCTTAGCATCAGTAAGAGGTCTTCTGCCCACTTTTGGAAGCTCTGAGCTGGTTATGAGATAAGATGGATCCATAGTACAGAAAGTAATGCAGTTTATGTTGTGGTGTGCAAAATTTATTTTGGGATACACAATGCATTGTAAATCAACACAATGGGGTGCATGGTGTGGAGGGCGGAGAGCAATGAAGTTTATGGTGATTAGTGCTTAGTGTATTTGGGTGGTATGGGTGTTCTGTGTATAACAAGGTGCTATGGCAACCTGGTGTGGTGTTATGGGTGAATCAGGGTACAGTATGAAGTGTGCTTTCTGATTCCTGATTAGCAATATTGAACACCTAGGGGCTGCTACACCTCTGAATGCAGGGGTAAATATGCTTCTTATTACTTAAAATGCACACTTTTTGTAAACCTCTCCTCTTGATTTTCACCCAGTATATGTATTTTCTTAGGATTTCATATCAGTTATACTGCTGTATAGGTAGAGAGTAGAGACTAAAGGGTTCAGTATTATTTAACCACACATCATAAAAACACAGCCATGTTTTACTGCACGAATGTGTACTTCATGTAAATCTGGACTCTGGAGGATGTGGCCAAAAAATGAAAGCAGAAGGCAAAGGACTAGCTATGAATAGTGTCTGAAGGCTCCCTGCAGCTATTCTTCTCCCATTACTGACTTACCATGCCTTGTTCTGCACTCAGTCACTGTGTGTATGTAGCCATCTTGGCAGAAAAGCAGGCTTTGCTTCCTTCTGTCATATCTGTCTTCCTGATGACTGGTGATTTAATGACTGGTGGGATAATATTAAAGAAGCCTAAGTAGTGATGGAGGAAGCACATATCCACAAAATGAGTGAAGCAAAAACAGGGAAATGTTTGCATTGCAGGTCCTCAGGTACAGCTTCCACTCCAGCAAGGACTACAGTGAGCAACATAGGAGTGACATCACCAAATATCACATCTTGTGAGATCAGCAGTCAGAGGCAGCGGTGCCTTGGATATCACACTGCGGATATAAAGCTATAATGCTCCAATCACAGGAAGTGCACTGCTATTTTTCAGGAGTACTTTAAGACAAAAGTTAAATTGCATAGGGGAACTGCTTTGGTACAACTCACATTTTTAAATGACCCCACAACATAGAAAATATTAACCTTTTTGAGTTCAGGTTCCCAATTAGGGCCTTACTTCTTTGTGTTTCCTTTAGAACTCTGTTGAGCCACATGCTTTAATTTTTGTCCAGGGACTTATGTTGTGTAAAGCCCTGGGTTCTGGAAGAAACTAAATATTTTTCTCCCTAGACAGTAAAAAGAATTGTTGAAGTACTCTGGTAAAGCTCTTTAGACAGAATGAACAGGATGCATGTAATCTTACTCTAAAGCAGCACAGCTCCTCCCTTTCTATGCTGTTACAATTACATTATATGATTACCTGTGAGATAGTTAACAGGATGTGAGCTTAGTAACTGATAGGTGTGAGTAAATGAAACACATTTCTTGCCACAATGTTAATCATTTGCAGTCACCTAAGACAACTAAGACAAGAGACTGCACGGGACTGTCAAGCCTACCCCTTTCTTTTTTTTTTTATTTCATGTGGACAGTGAAAAATGCGTTTTGCAGAGCCACAAACTACATGAAATATAACCAGAGTTGAGCTTGGCTGGAGAAGATAAGTGAATGACTAAGATACTGAGTCATACACCTACACATCACTAAACATGTGGTCAGTAACAACGCTTCACAGTAAAGCACCTGCAATTTAACAATCATTTCAACAGCTACTTTCATTTGATCATTATTGTTATTTTTATTGTATAATACATAAACGGTTTACTTAGGATAAAAGCAAGAGCAAAACAGAGGCAAAAAAGCATTTTCCAAATTATGTCTGTTTATTATACACTGGAAAAAAAACATATCATCAGTATAACAAATTACATCTCTAAAATTGTGTTGTACAAACTATTGTTGCTTTAAAAAGCACAGTGAGCGATAAAGATAGATAGGGGGGAGATGTAGACTGGAGGGGGAGAGAGGAAGTGAGAGAGAGAGAGGAAGAGAGGGGGAAAGAGAGAGAGTGAGGGACTAGGAAGAGCAGAGGGAGTTGTAGATAAGAGAGAGAGAGAGCAGGGAAAGGAGAAAGGACTGCAAAAGGCAGACAGAGAACAGGGAGGAGAAAGGGGGTGACATTATAAAAGGATATAAGGTGAAAATGAGAAACAGTCCACAGCGGAAGATTAGGTATGGGGGAAAAAGGAGGTCATCAAGGAGAAATAGAAGAGGTGGGTTAGGGTTAAGGGGGCGGGGGGGTGTCATTAAGTAAATGAGAGAAAACATATCAAGTCAGAATAAGAACAAAAATTACAAAATATTTAAAAGGATGTGCTAGGGGGCAAGTGATGAGAAATTGGGGATCCAAGAAATTATGAGAAAGATAAATAATAATAAAAGAGATTAGAGAGAAAATAAAAGAGAGTGAAAAGGGAGAAGGCATTGAAGAGAAATGCTGATAATAAATGATATAAGAAGAAGAGAGAGTGCTGACAGAAAAGAATGAGAGGGAAAATAAAAATGAATGTGAATGAGAAAATATGCTACACAATAACAAATGAGAGATGAAGAAAAAGCTACAGAGGGAGGTGGAGAAGGGGGAGAGGAATGGGTGGCGAAGGGAATGAAGGGATTAGGGAAGGTGGGGACCCACCACCATCCTTCTCCTGCTGCTATATGCCAAGAAAACCTCATATGGTTTTGGGAAGGTGAAGAATTATATGACATCCACTAGGAGGCATATGCCAAGATGGATGCTTGGGTGAGTCATAGCATGTAGGAGAGAAGCCATACTGCTACCTCTCAGTAAACCAGAAAAAGCAACACCATAAAGCAAAAATTAATAGGACTGAATCACACAGGTGTATTGAGGGTATTCATGAATTAATCTAGTGAAGTCTATTCTGAATGCCCATCTATAACTGAACAGACATGGAAGTGTGTAGGATCAAATGTCAAATGTTTTGCAAGCCCTTACATGCCTCAAAGCAACAACTTAATTTGTCTTCTATCTGTAGAGCCAGTATATACCCTCATATGCTTCACTAGTTTTCATTGGGCAGGTATTCTGACCATAAACTAGCAAGAATGTCTGGTTGATGTTTAATATGCACATTATACACTGAAATTCCTTTGAAAGTCTTCTTTCTGACTGTCCAAGCCAAAAATGGAGCAAAATCAGGTCCACATCATGACGCAGCCTTTGCTGAGAACAGTGCCTCTTATTCTGCTTTCTCACAGTCTCTCCCAGTGTTGTTTTCCCATCACAGTTCCTGTGTGAGAACACTGATAGTTCTCTAACTTGTTCCCAGGAACAATGTCCCTCAGTCTCCAGAGACTCTCCCCTCTGCTGAATTGCGCACCATATATTGTAGATTCAGAGCTAAACTCGCAGCAAGTAGGACTGCAGCCCACTGGATGACACACCCAGGCACATACTAGACTGGTGCTGGTCCCTACATATGGAATCACTTAAAAGTCTAAATTATCAAAGGTTACCTCTGTATTAACACTCAGTATAAAAAGTAAAGCTGTATCATATCATCTAAACTTAGTTCATATAGATATGGGTTTTCTTTTGGTTTAGACGTCTGATGTGTGTGCTCTAAACACGGAGTTAACTGCATTTAAAGGACTTGGCTTCCCCTGAATTATAACATGCCACTCTATATTGGTATGCCTTTATAACACTAAACTCAAATACATTTCTAGACAGTCAGTGCTCCACCATTACCAAAAAGACCAACACAAAGTTAAGGAATAGATTTGTATCTTAAAATCCAGCCTGGTTTAAGAAAAACTTGCATCAGAAACCTTTGAATCTATCTTCTCAACATCATAACCATCACTGACTGTGCATCCTTCTAAAACAATTGTCAGTAAAAGTAATTGCAACACGAAAACGTTCTGTCTACCCCAGCTAATGGCTGTCTGCTGAGCTACATTAGCTTACAACATTAGGAACACATTCCAAGCTATAGCTGATCAAAAAGCCTAACAGGTAGAACAATGATAGATACAAAAGAAAGATAATTAAACTCTACTTACTGAAGCAGCCACGGTGTCTCACTCCTGGCAGACAGAACACCACCAAACAGGCACAAAGTGACAAAACACTGATCAAACCCCTTCTTTGCACTGTTGAGTCACAGAATGAAGATCCAATGCAGAGCAATAACAGCCCAGCAAATTCCAGTGCCTAAAATCCCATCTACAAGCCCTTGCATGCCATTGGATGGACTGTCTGTCTTTATAAGTCACGTTGCAAGAGTAGCACTGCTTTAACCCTCTGTGCTAAAGACAGAAGTATTGAAATGATGGACGGTTATTAGCATATTCTGATTTTAGAGGACTTTTAAGGTTCTTTATTACGCTTGGTATAGCCTTCAAAGCTACATTGCTTCCTTTGGTATCAGCTCAGTGGCACCTAACTCCAGAGTGAGTCCATTCTGCAAAGTCCCTCTTACCCCTCCTCTGCCTATACCTCCCATTTTCTAGCTCAGTGCCCCCTTTTCTTCCAGTACACAATCCCTCCCTTTCTTTTCTGTGTTCCTCCATTGCAAATTCTAGACAGTTTTTCAGCCAAGCACCCTCCTCTCTGCTGAGACTTCTACTCTTATCTGTTACAGTGCACAGTAGTCTGCTGATGCAGTTACAAGTAGTTTGCAGTGACAGTATATGAGGGAAACATCTGTCACCCAAAAGACACATATATGCCTGTATGAGTTGCTGAGTCTCTGAACCACCCCTGCTGTACTGGAGGCAGAGATAAGGGCACACCCTATCTGACCACATAGCAAAAAGAGGAACTACGCAGCAGCAGTATGTTTCAACTGTTATATAAAGTTGCAGGGGGCTCTGTTGCTATTTGCAACCTGTTAGAATCCACCTTCTTCAATGGAAAATAAAACATGAAATACAATTTCTGATTGGTTGACATGAACACTTTAAACCTGTCTTCAGCACTGAAGTCCAAGGTCCAGTTACAGAAGCCTGCTGGATGGTAGGTGCCATTCTATGATCAGCAATGGCTTCGTTTGTCCTTGTAACACTTTTAGTCTCATTAATAAAATGGGTAACAACATAGTGCAAAGGAAGCTTTGAGTAGTGAGCCACAGTGGAAAGACAAATGAAAGATGATTTGTTCCTTGCTTGCTGGGACTTGTAGTTCCTTTTCAGAAATGTGCCCAAAAGGGTGAGAGGCTTGCCTGCAGAAGCAGTGGAAACATTTAGTGTACCAGATGTGAATGGCATAGCCCTGTATACCAGAACCCAGCTGCAAAGGGGAATTCAGCCATGCGATGTGAAGATGATTTTAATGTATATACAATCAATAGATCTGGCAAAGATTTTCAGACATGATGATGACTTCCACTCCTCACCAGCCCTCTCCTGTGCCGATTCCAGTCCATTGTGCTGGTTGGGTTTGTCATTATCCATGGACATCACTGTTCACTCTCCAGTGCTGAAACTGATTCTGCAGCTCAATACTGCACAGCAAACCCTCTTATATACAGATTAGTGCTTCTCTGAAAAGTCCAATCTCCCTTCTTCCAGCTACTTCCTTCCTGTTTTCTTCTGCTACATGTATTCTAGACCTAGATAGTGTTATTTCTATATATCCCCATCAGTGTGCTTTCTAGTCACCCTTGTGTGAGGGAAGTCCCTGAGTCCCCCCTGACTCCTCTGTACCAAGCACCATTTACATTGCTGAGCCGCACAGCCAGTAGAGGAAGCTTAGTATTAAAATGATGTGCAAACCAGCACACTGCAAATAGAACTGTGACAGAAGCATCGCTAACTGTTGCTCTAACACTTCCCCAGTAGGTGCACAGTGATACAAGTCTGCTTCTTGCTTTATCCATTGAATGCTTCCACACTGCTGCTGAAAGCTATAAATGCTACATTAACGTCAGACATGCAATGGAATCTGCCGCTTGTAAGGCAAGATCACAGTGTTGCAGAGAAGATTGAGACAATGTAGCTTTTACCTCTTTTGGGAGGATATAAATAACAGAAGCTGTCACTACTGAATTAAAGGTGGAGGCTTTGTGGCTGTCATATTGATACTTTGCTTCTCTGCCTGATCTGGTACAAGATAAATGTCCGATTAGATTGCACACCTTTTAATGTATAGCATGCACTGTGCAACGATCTAGATCCTCAGGCATGTGCAGGGCACATGCACTTTAAAGGGAATCTGTCATAAGAACATAACAGGCGATGCAATCGCTGATTTTTTATGAATGCTAGTTCCCTGGCTTTCATGATGATGCTTTGGCTTCAATCCAGAACAAAGATGGAGATTTGAACTTCACTCTCAGATTAGAAAAAATGCTTCTTTATCATTTCATATTTCATCCAGTGTGTCATGCAAAGTCAGTCATAGAAGAGTAGCATGACATATACTCCATTTGAAATCTCTACCTTTTGGGTCATTGCAATCATTTTTTAAGCAGTGAGTCGCAATCTGCTCTGAGAATGGAGTCCCTGTACTGACCAAGATTATTATATTATTATTATTATACAGGATTTATATAGCACCAACGGTTTGTGCAGCGCTTTACAATATAAGGAAGACATAACAATCGCAATACAATTCAAGACAAGATGGTAAGGAGGGCCCTGCCCGTGAGAGCTTACAATCTGAAAGATCTGACCTGGTACCATCACATTGTAGCCTGCAAAGTTTAAACTACCCAGAAAGCTTATTCCAGGTCAGTAATTCCTATAGGCAGTGACTAAAAGATGGAGGCCACATCCCAAAGCATTCAAAGTACCGCAGCGCTGAATACTGAAAAATGGCCTGGCCAGGTAGGGGATCTAAACACCTGGTCTTCAAGCGGTTAAAAATACATCATGTATGGCAGCTCCCATTTTCTTTCCTCAAAGTTTCACTTTAAAGTTATCCTGCTATTGATGTCTCTACAGTCAATTTTTTTTGTTTTGGATAGAGTAGTGAGGGGATAGAATCCCTGTCTGTGTCACTTTTTGGGAGATTCATCCTCTCTAATTGTCCTGGACCTGGTAACCACTGTCACTGGAACTAGAAATCGACACTTTGCCTAGAAAGTAGATTTACATTTAGGGAAAAAAATGTCATACTTTCTGTTATGTTTTCAACACAGGAAGTGAATAAAAATGGGGTGGGCTGGGACTGGGGTTTTAACCATTCCCTACTCTATCTAAAATGAAAAAAAGGTTTTGACATTAAATATACTTTAAGTTATCTACAAAGGAATATGAACTACCTCCTGGCCGGAAAAAAACGAGCGGGCGTCTTTAGATGTCTGCTCAGACTGTCACATATTTTGCTATCACATAGGGGGATTTTATTAGCCCCCGTATGTGATAGCAATAAAGTTTAGTGAAAAAAAATAGAAAAAAAATTAAAGTCCCGCCCCCAAAAAATTTAAAGTTACACATAAAAAGAATAAAAAAAACAAAAAAACTTTTTTAAAGTCCCCACCCATACATACATGCATGCAAACATGCGTAGAGGGAGCATACATGCAAAAAGACGATGGCGCCCATTACACCGCACATGTTACATAATGCCACGAACGTCCAAGTGAGGGCAATAAGTCTAGGGCCATCAATCATTGATAACACTAAACTGATGCGCGGTAAAAGCTTTTAAAGTGTCGCCTATGACCAATTTTGGGTATGGTAGTTTTCTGCGATTTCGCGGGTGCGCGCAATTTTAAAGCTTGACATGTTTGGTGTCGATTTACCTGACGTGACCCCGTCTTTTATATTTTACCAAAAAACTGGGTAATAATAAATGTTTCCTAACATAATGTAAAAAAAAACAACATTTTTTTTCCAAAATTTTCAGTAATTTCTCCTAATTATAGTAAAAAATAAACACCCCAGTGGTTATTAAATACCACCAAAAGAAAGCTCCATGTGTCCCCAAAAAATTGTATAAAATTAATTTCAGTACAGCATTGCATGACGGAATAAACGTCAGTCAAAGTACCGCAGCGCTGTATACTGAAAAATGGCCTGGATGGGAAGGGGGTCTAAACACCTGGTCTTCAAGCAGTTAAATTACTTTAGCATGTTGCTGGACCTGCAGGATTCCAGGTAGGCATTACAATGAACCTGTGCTTTGCCAATGCAAAAACATTATATACAGTGGAACTAAAAACTCAAATTAAAGTCAGATTACCTTATTTTTAAACTTGTTTAGGTTCACTGACTCAAACTATAGAAGAAAAAGAGGCATGACAGCCAGGCAACTGGCATTATTATAAGGATAGGTCAAAAATAGGAGTCCTCAATTTTTTTCATGTAAAAAAAAATAACTTTCTTCCAATATATAATATTATAAAGTAAGAACATTTCAATTGATTTATACTTACTAATAAAAGCCACATGCAGTCAGAACTATTGTCACTTCTCAGTCTCTAGGCTTCTCAGACAATTATGCTACAGGAATGTACCCAGAAAGAATGTATTCTTTTGTTGTAACAATAATCCAGATACTGGTGACTTCAACAAAAACATGATGCTTTGTCTACAATATGAACTGCTGCATGTCCAAGCATACTTGTCTTGGTGCAAATCCCATTTAACACTTAAAGCATAACAACAGCCATAATGGTTTAGTATTATCTTGCAAAGATGTCATGTGCCATTAGCAGAAGTAATTTACTTACAGGAACTAGAAGCCACCCTGACTCCACATCACCAGCTTAACCACACAGGAAACTGTGAACAGTCCAACAAAACGTGTGATTTTCACTCTGATAAATATTTCATTTGCATGTGAATAAGAAGCACACCATTAAGTAACGTCTTTGTCTCTTTGCAGTCTTGGACATTAAGTTATTATGTACTGTTAAGCTCAGCATTGCAGCGAGGCAGTTAATGATCTGTCCTCATTCTGTGTGTTGTGAACAAGGAGGATTTGTGTGTTAAAACAACATTCAGGTAATTATTGTTATGATTAAAAAAAGCCACAACAAGCTGCAGTTTCAGTTTAGTCTTTCATACCTTGTGCCAGGTAATATAACACATACAAACAATGAATTGCCAGGTGTCTACCTCTTATCAGGGACACAAAGTCAGTTTCTAGGCATATGCCAACTGTGCTGTTGTCTAATGCAGTGTTTCTCAACCTTTTTTCAGTCATGGGACCCTTTAAAACAGGGATCTCAGAGTAACAGCCCACAGGCCGGAACCAGTACTATGTGGCCCACAGTCAGCTGACAAGTCTGGCATACCTGACTTTCAGGAGCAGCTTAATGGTCTGCATCCCTGTCAGATGTAAACCGCATAGTTGCCTCTGGTGATGCCACCACTCAGTTCCTTTCAGACAGCGCTCGAACATCCTTCACAACGCCGGCCCAAAGGATGGATTAGTAAGGTTCTGCAACAGCCAAAGGTACAGACTTTACTAATCAACCACTAGATATTGTGTGTATTAGGCCCCATTCACACCTATATTTTAGGTGCGATTAGGGATTCAGGAACTTGCATTTTCCTTTACAGCCCCTCCTCACAGGAGAAATTTTGGAATATAAAAAGCAATTTAAACTGCCAGGTGCATTTTTTACATTTTTTATAGCTTATGGGATGTGGATGGAAACATGTAACAAATGCAAAACAGGTGTTATCCCAACTGGGCTGCAAAAGTGCAAATAAACTTTAAGATT